CGGAGCAGATGACTACTACAGGGTCCCTTCAAGCTATATAAATCCATGATCCTATGCCTTGTAAATGTTCAAAAGTATAATGATTCAGAGAATAATTTCATAAGAAAGCAAAACTATGACAAATTTAGTTACAGAGATAAATAAACTTTTCTTCTTTAAAAGGGGGTGAGTAACACAAGATTTAGCAGCTTCTACTTAAGAGACCGGAGGGCTTAGAATATAATATTCCAGAGGGCAGAGCAGACTCAATAATGAAGTTAAATTACAGGAACAGTAATGACACTTTTTTCTGATCTACCTCATAAGAGCAAGATAATGTTTACAAAACGAGCTCTAGGAGGAAAAGGAAGTGCTCAGCAAGTTCCCAGATTCTCCCTTTGTGAGGGCAGCACCATCTCACGCAAAGAACAAGCTCCTTCAGATTCCAGAGCTCGACAACAGCAGCTTCTCATCCTCTGGTAAGCAGGCCTGAGCCTGTCTAACCTCTAACCACTCCTAGCTTCCTTGGTCAACCACAAATTAATGAAGTGAAAAATAACAAGAAGTGCTCTGGGCCAGTGCCTAAAGAGGGGTGCAGGGAAAAGCAAGTAAGCAATGAATTATGCGAACCAGACAGCTTCAGCCAATCAAAACCCACTACTACCTCAAGGGCTAATATGCTAATCTGGCCTTGGACACCAAAAAGGAAGACACACTCTTCTCTGATCTTGGAAAAACACTTTTAAAACTGGCTTAGAGGTAATTAGCAGATTAAAAAAAAAACCTCCAATAACTAGATCCCATGAAATGGGGTAAGATGCGAAGGTAGAGATGGGGAAAACAGGACAATAAAACAATAAGACAAACAAGTTTAACTATATAGTCTTACCAAGCAGCTATTTGCTATGAAGGATCCATTACTGAGGATGGTACAGGACAGCAGATAACACAAAGACAGGACTATAAAATCAAACTGCACTTCCGATAAACCTAAGAAACTTATACATCTATTCTTCAGAATAGCCTTTCAGTGATGCTCTCCTTACCCCACACGTTTTGGGAATTCTTGAAATTGACTTCCGGACCAGTCTGAGACACTAGAGAAAATCAGCTACACCTTATATACACTGTCAGTCACTGGCACCCAATCACTCATACAAATACACAATCAAAGACAATTAATAAACCAATGGCCCCAATCTCTGAAGTACCACGTCCTTCCCACCATCCCCCCCCCATCTACATTTTCTTTACCTGCATGGCTAGGGCAGATTCCTTACCCACTGAAATGTTCTGCCTACCTCTGCTCCACATAAGTTTAATTAAATGCATAGAAAACGACTATACTACTGGGGGTAGTTTGCATCTAACGATCTGGACACAGATTCTCACAGGACCATTTTTCTGGACTGAGGGGGTTATCATCAAATATCCAAGTCGACAAGTATTTAATTAACCTGCCCTGCGTACTGGGTGTGCCAGGGGACTACCAAGGAAGATGAGATGGTTCCCGACTTCCAGATCCTCAGATCATAGTTGAGTACGTTCACCTGGTCATTCCCAGGCTCTGGGAGCTTAGCAGCGCGTAAGCTCCCAAGCCCAAGCCACAGCCCAACTGCTCCATGACTTAACATGCAGCTCCCAGTGTTGCTGTGGCCAGTCTTCTAGGGATGAGCCTCTTCAAACTTAGCAAGGCTCATTCCTGAAGGACAAAAACCACATCATTCATCGCAGGAGGAACCCTAGTTACAGTCTTTCATGGTCAGTAGCATTTGCCAGAATCTATAAACCAATGAGATCCCAAGGTCACCATTACACCATAGGGGATCACTGACTGCAGAATGACCTTGATAGACGAGTGGATGATATAGTAGAAAAATATATTAAATAACCAGACAACAATATAAGCTAGTCAAGCAATCAGCAAGCATTTACCAAGCTTGGCCCATGCCTGTGTGCTAGGCACCTGTGCCAGGTACACAGCACAGAGACAAAAATGAAAACCCCTGCCACCAGGAAGCTTAAAGTCTATTACAGGAAATAATATACACACATGTATGGCCATGCAAAGCATGTTACAAGGTGACTGAACTTTCCGGCCTGGATAACTGGGAGAAAGATGGTGCCATCAGGAGGAGAAGCAAAAGCAGGAAGAAAGAAGATTCAGACACAGTCAAGTTTGAGATGAAAGGGAATATCAAAGCAAACAATTCCAACATGTAGAGACCCAGGACTGGAATTCCGGGGAGAGGTCAGGGCTGGGTATAGGGATTCTGAGTCGGGATGAAGAGTCCAAAGTTAAAGCCCCGAAAGTGCATGACGTCTCTAGGGGAGAGACAGAGTTACAGCCTGGGAAGTATGAGGTCAAATAACCATCATGGAAGATAGGGAGTTGGAGGAACAAGAAGACAAGGAAAATACTGTCACTGAAATCCAACCTTAAATCAGTAAAATACCCAGGAGGCTGACCCTGTATTCTGTAAAGGACGCTGAGGCTTCTCGACCCAAAAAAACTGCAGCTTGACATAACTTTGAGAGTGAAAGGTGAAGAGTAATGAGGATGACCAGCCGGATGGCTGTAGCAGCTCAGTGCCCTCAGAGCAAAGTTTGGCTTTCTTACTCTAGGCATGGATGCAACAAAGTGAAGAACTCAAAGACTTACCACAAGCTTTGCGGGACACCCAGCAACTTGCTGGTTTATGAATCAGATACCAGTTTCTTCATGAAGCTAATTAAGCCGGGAAGGGTTGATGAATGAGCTATTTTAAAGTACTTTCACATTAAATGTCACAGAAACTCTAAATAACAGAGCTGATGATGCAAATAGGAACAATGGCCGCGCACACAGAGGTGGGAGCCTGGGGTTCAGAATGTAGCAGCATCACAAACCCCGTTCCTCAGGAGCAGGGCTCAGGTGCAAATGAATGTGCACAGAGAGCAGGCAGAGTAGGAGGGAGGAGATCTGGGCTCAGGCCAAGGGCTACCAGCGTGACCCCCAGTCCAGGAGCTGATGCCCTACGCCACGGCACCTCGGCAATACAGCCGTCATCTCACCCGCTCCCCTCCACGCTGCGGCAACAGAAAAGGTCACGAACAAAACTGCTTTGAGCTTTTGAAAGCACTGTCTTCGGGTATTAGTTATGTGAAATTCCAGATATTTAGGCAATGACTAAAGACGGCAAAAGACAGAATGAGAGGTCATAAAACTGTGCCAGTGGAACAGATGAAGGCTCACCCTGCGGCCATCTGCTGCCTCCTTCCTAACAGCCTAAGGGCAAGAGTGATGATGATGACGACGACGGAGGCACCGCCCTCTTGGAGTCACACAGCTTCACAGTCTTGCAAGCCCTTCCACAAACATGCATGCACAGCACTGGGTATGATCACAGACCTAGGGCTGGAAGGAACCCCAAAGGCCATCCAGACTAAACCCCCTCGTTTTCCAGGTGAGGAAATGCAAACTCATCCAGGTTTTCAATGACTCGTCCATACTCACATGGCTAGCAAGGGAGAGAAGCAGGAACAGAGTGTGGGTCCCCTGGCACTCTTTCCTTCATACCACAATATCACCTGATTGGGTATTTTACCGCCACACTTTTTGGATATTATTTTATTGAACTGAAAGTATCTTTCAAATATCTCCATAACAGGTCTTGTTTGAGGGAGGTTCATGTTTCACATCTCTCAGGCTTTTTGAAAACAAGGTACATTTGCAATGAACAATGAAAGGCCTTAACAACGAGGCTACATTAGATTCAGTGGGAGTTAAGTGGAAACAGAAATGTTACTAATCTCTCAAAAGTAGGGAAACAACCCCATTTCGTGATAAAGTTGATTTTGGTAAATTGTATTCCCTTCAGAGACCAAAACTTAAGCACCGTGATCAAACGAAACCTCAGGTAAATCTGAGGTGATAAATCCAGTTCTTTCTCCACTCCGTCTTTCCAGAGCCGGGCACTATGGCTGCGGAACGTCACGTGTGCTTTCCAGTTTGGCTGGTGGTCAGTTTTACTGAATTATTACTGGGGTTTTTTTGTCTCTTGTTTGAGAGCCAGCTCATAGTAGAAGACAGAGTACTGGTCTTGGGAGTCAGGGAAATCGGGGTTCAAATCCTACCTCCTATACTATGTAGTCTGAGACAAAACCCTAACCCTAATTCCCTAGGCCTTAGTTTCCTCATTTGTAAAATCCAGAGAGGGACATAATACTCTCTAAGGTTGCTTTCCTCTCCAAATCTATGATCCCATGATCCAGTGATTCTTTTTTCTTCTGAGTTGCAAGGGATGACTCTCTGAAGAGAAGTGGGGAAAAGGTACAACTGAAAATTAAAATGAGTCCATTAAAAAGATATCAATAGGGGGCAGCTAGGTGGCACAGTGGATAGAGCTGCAGCCTTGGAGTCAGGAGGACCTGAGTTCAAATTCAGTCTCAGATACTTGACACTTATTAGCTATGTGACCCTGTCACTTAACCTTGACTGCCTCACCAAAAAGTTTAAAAAGAATTTTTTTAAAGAGTCCATTAAAAAGATGTCAAAAAAAGTTTGAGAAAAAACCTCTTAGTTCCATCAGCTCTCAGTTTGTTTTCAAAGTAGAAGTCAATGAAATACTGAGATGAAAAAAAAGACATTCTTAAGGGCATAGGTCATCCCTTCTTTGGAATGTAGTAAATAGGCAAAATGCTGCTGCTTTTATTTTAGCTAATGTCACCTAGCAGACATGATCTCATCCTCAATCACTCTGTGAAGGTGATAGAAAGAAGTCCCTTTACTCTATTAGCTGTATGTCACATCTGGCGAAAACTTGACTTGAGTCCCTCATGGAGACAATTTTCTGTGGAGCTCAGACTTGAATCTCACTATTCTAATCAGTAAGACAACCCTGACTCTATTAAAGACCACAATCTATTGTCAAGTTGCCATTTCAGATAATCCTCAACCCACAAAAAATGCAGACAAAATCAGAGGAATCAGAACCAAAGCCCAACATCAGAGAGAGGTTCATCTGGAATCTGTTATTTACCTTTTAGGAACTGCTTGGGCACTAAGTCACCACACGCACTCCCTGCAAAGGCAACTGTAAGAAATACACAAAGCATCATCAGAAAAAGGAACTGTGAAACTGGTCCCATTTAAAGCATCAAATTGAATGGACACAGATTAATAATAAATACAAGAGACACATAATAGCTAGCATTCATAGAACACTTTAAAGGGCACACAGAAAGAGTTGAATTGTTAAGTGCCCTGAGGTATGGATCTCCTGTGCACTGACCACTGCTGTGGGGAGGCTGATGGCCTGATGGCTGACCGCTGGTCTCCAGCTCAATGCGTTGATTGCTCCTTTCAGACACGGAACTGAGTACAGAAGGGCTACAGGAAAACTGCAGCCTGTAACCAGTCCCCAGAGCATGTCACTCCAGGGCGATAGCCAATTTAAGGGTCTGGACCTTATTTTCAAATTACATGGGTGGAAAGGAAGCCAATACCTATGAAACTAATTCATAATGCATGTCTCTCACCAGCTTTACTCTTTCAGAACTGAAAGGCAAACCATTCAATGAGATTATTCGGGGAGAAGTCTCTGCTATGTACTCAAACTTAAGCTAAGGCTTAGGCATTTAAGGGGGGAAAGTCGGCCAGCTTCTAGGCCCTTAAAATAATATTCTTAATAGCTGACATATATAGCATTCTAGCCTGACTTACATGATCTCATCTGATTCTCACAAACACCCACAACAAAAATAATGAAGATGTGATCATCCCAGTTTTATAAATGAAGAACTGAGACAGGCTTAATGCCTTGCCCACGATCACAGAGCCAGGATTTAATCCCCATTCTGACTCCAAATCCACTGATTTCACAAGTGTCCATTAGTGAATAATCCCAAATAAATCCTACAGCCCCGAAAAGACCTGGGCTCTGGTGACAGGGATCAGAGTGGAGAAGAGAGGATTCTTGTGTTCCCTCCATGGAGAGGTCATCTGAACTCTGGGCTCTCGTTCAGGCCCAGGTTGGATAAGACGGCCTCACAAGGTCCTTCCAGCTCTGAAATTCTGTCCCTGTGTCATGCTAAAGTCACAATGTGCTCGCTGTCCTTCCAGCACAAAGATAACACTGCATAATCCCCATCACCAGGCATTAATGATGATATCTGCCAAAGTATCCTGGTATTACCAAGAAACAAAAGAGAACATGCTCCACTCCTGGTTCTTTGTGGGTAGACCATCCCACTGAGGAAATGTGCTAGCTGCTCCCTATCCTGGGCTTTCCAACCAGGTCACGCAGGCTTCACAGCAGGGGTTCCACTATTCATCACCTCTCCCTCATCCCTAGGGGGGGTGGTTCAGCCAGTCACCAAGCACTGATGAAGCACTGACTAGGTGTCAGGCTCTGTGTAATGGGTAAGGATACAAATAAAGAAAAAAAGAGTCCCTGGGACATGTCCCTGGAGCCCATTCTCCATTCTGGTCCTGGAACTACTTTGTAACTATTATTACCACCATAAGCACACCTTCCCAAAACATACTTTCACTCTACTCCTACCGGATACCTAAGGAGCAGCCAAAGAACAGAGCAGTAATGAAATGGTCTGTCTCTTGCGGGCTAAAGAAGCTTGTACGTGTCTGAGTCCCCAGCTGGTATAGATCTAAGTGTGTGGAATGCACAGCAAAGCAGTGGGGCAGGAGCCAATGACTTAGAACGAGGGCTGGACAAACCACAGGCCTCTGACAAACGGCATGAGCTTAGGGACCTTCTCAAGCTGGCTGAAAGAGAGTCAAGAAGATCAATGTGTGAGCTGTTATCTCTCGACTCTTGAGGCTTACCCTTTTTCTGAAGGGGCTGCACCAAGCTAAATGACTGAGGCAAGTAATCCTATCCTGGGTAACACATCTGAATAGCCCATCACCAAATACCTGCTGAGTAACCAGTGCAGCAGGGTGGCTGCATGCCCATGCCAGGTCTGAATCATGAAATAGTCACAAGCATCTAAAATGAAGAGATGCAATTCGAGGCTGACCGAAGTTAAAAATCTCAGAATAAACTTTAACAGTTAACTGTAATATAATAAAATATAAAATACCACGAAACACAGAAATGTAGCTCCCTTTGCTCAACTTACTGGTTGTCACATAATGAGAAGGGTCTGCTCGATGTTTTGGCGTTGATTCTTCTATAGAAACGAGCAGCTCCCCTTCCAACAGCGCTTTTCGGCTTAGTTCTGCCGCTTCCTTTTTCCAGTGAATAATCACGTATTTCAAAATCTGAAAAGATCACGACTCAGAGGAAGGGCTTAACTCGTATTAGACATCACAATAACAATAAATGGTACATTTCCAATGATACACTTAACACTTGGAGTTTGAATACTACACTGCCTGTTTGCGCAAGCTCCAGCGACATCAGTTCTGAGCAGAGATGGTATGTCTGGCAAAAGAGCAACCAAAGGAATGGAGACATAAAAGACTGTGTTTATCACAGTCCCAAAGTATAGGAAACAGACAAATTAATTTGTATTAAAAGTGTACCTGGTCATAACAATTACGGCATGCCATGGGCAGGAAGAAAGGAACTGAAACATTCTTTTATCATTAATTACAGGCAACACAGGTAATAGAACAGGGTTGTAATCATCAATATTGTTTCCCTGAATCATCCTAACCATCCCTCACAAGTATATTATAATTTCCCATAGCATCAGTTCCTTTGCACTGAACATGAGCTGACTCCATTTTGAAAGAAAGACCACGGCTATAATTTCCAGATCCTTCTTGATGTTTCTGATAAAACGCTGAATCTTTTAAAAAAATAAATTTAAAATAGGAATAGCATTTTTCAGTACTATTACCACTTGTGTAACATGTTACATTTTTATACCACAACACTAAAGCAATAAAAGAGAGCGACTATTATCCAATCTTAGTTTCTGCTTTCAATAGGACACTCAGAAGAGGATGGTCCCACAAGGCAGAGAGACAAAAACCAGTGGACACTGAAAGCATATTGCCCAGATATGTCTTGCTAGCATACATGCAGCTCATTGAGTTAATCCATCAGCACATAAATTTTGGACATTGAAGACAATGAAGGGAAATGGCTCCCAAAACAAACAAGGACAAAGCGGCTAGCCTGTCTGTATGGTATATATTATTGTCAATGATCTCACAAGCCATTTTAAAAAAATATATGTATTCTCACTTCTCATGACTGCAAATTATGGTTTCACTGTGATCTCCTGGAAAGATGCACAGTAATCATCAATTATGACTTATGTTAAGAAAGCAGCATAAGAGAGATTGGCAAGGAAATGAATGATCCCAAAAGGAGACTAGCCATTGATGTAGGAATAGGGATGAGGGAGGGCCACAAGACGTTAAGAAACTGGAAGAAGGTCTAAGTAAAAGTAAATACCCTATGGAAAAGCATGGACAGAAGAATTGCACAGGATAAGAAGTCACAGATGGATTTCAGTTTTCACCAAAGGAGGGAACATCTACATTGATGACATCATTAATCCATCAGTGTATCCAGTCCTCTACCTAAGCATTCTACTTCTGGCTTCTATGAGACAAGATTGTGAAAGGAGCAAGACCTCTCTGGGCCTCATTTTTCTCAACTACAAAACAGAGGAGGTAGACTACATGGATTTTGAGGTCCCTACTAGCTCTAAATAATATTCCTATTAGACATGGCATGGATGATAAGAAGGAAATTGTGTAGATGCCTTGTATAGGTGTGAGGCTGAATTTAAGAAAGACAAAGTGGCAAAATTTGTGAGAACTTTAGGAAAACAGGAAGAAGAACAATCTTCAGGCCCAGATACTGACTGGTCCATATTCTACTGTTCAGTTCAAATAGCAGCAGAGTAAAGGGCAAATGAGGAAGATATAAAAAGTTTAAGGAAGATCGAGGAGTAGAGCCCTGAAGTGGAAAGTAAAACCTCAGGAAGGAAAAGGAAAAGATTAGCAAGGTAAGTCAGAAAAGTAGAACAAGGGAAGAGTAAAGCAAGTTGGGTGGCTCGTACTGGGGAAAATGGTGAGAATGAGAGCTAGTTGGTATAAGGCTGAAGAAGGGGAGGGTGGATGGGGTTGAGTTGTTAGGACTCAAAAAAAAAGAATGTCGAGTGCTATTGTTAATTTACTAAGAGGTTGTAAAAGTTGTAACCAGGAGTTTAGGCGTATACAAGTAATTTTTTTTAAAAAGCTAAAAAAGTGGAAAGATAGGCACACTAATGTATTGTTGGTGGAGCTGCCAATGAGCACAACTGTTCCAGAGAGTCATTTGCAATCATGCAAATAAAATGGCCGAACCGTCCCCACCCGGTGGCTGGGCAATGAAATCCTCAATGAAGTCCTTTTTTTCTTTAAAACATTCATAGGGGCCCTTTTCGCGGCTGCACACGAAGTAGACAGACGCACACCGCCTGGGGGAAGGGACCAGAAATGGAAGCCAGGACCGGGATTCTGGGAGACGCGATGACGTCAGCGGGCGCGCAGTGACGTTAACTTTGGACATGCAAAGAAGCCCGCGGACGCGCCCGCGCACGCTCGGGGGCTCCCCAGGCCCCTACGGCTTTCTTCTCTGCCTTGGTCCTTGGGGGGTGGGGGGAGGGAGAATCTAGGTGACGTAAGGACAAAAGAAGCCAACAAAAATGGACCCTTGCAAAAAGAAGGCCGAGAGGCTCCCGCCCCCATCCTCCTCACGCCGCAGCCCCGCCCCGCCGCGCCACCGTCACCTCACACACGGCCCTCGCCTCCATCGCCCACGACGCCCACGACGCCTCCTCACGCGGGCGTCTCTCCCGCCGCGCGCCCGCGCCTGCGCACGAGGGGCCGCCTCCGGCGCGTGCCTCTGACGCCCCGCCCCCGCGGCCGGGGCTCCGCGCGCCTGCGCGCTCGGCTCATCCTCTCTAGAGCCTCCCTGCCCACTCCCCTCCGCCCGCCCGAGCTCCTGACGGAGGCCGAGGCCGAGGCGGAGGCGGAGGTGGAGGCGGGGTAGGCGGGGGGAGGGGGCCCGCAGGGAGGTGGAGGGGGCGGGGCCGGAGGGAGGCGGGCCGCCCCGCAGCTCCGCCCACCAGCCCGCCTCCGTGGGCGCCCGCGGACGAACCGGGTCGGGCCAGCCAGCCCCGGCGCCGAGGGGGCCCCGCGGGCCGGGGCAGGGATGGCCGGGCGCCGGCCGGGGCTGGCTCTGGGGCTGCCCGCGGGCGGCGGCGGGGGGGCGAGCGGCCCCGGTGGACCCGCGCAGCCCGTGACCCCGTGACCTGTGTGATCTGTGACCCGTGACGCCGCCGGCAGGTGCCAGGTGAGCGAGGCCGCGCCCCTGGAGGCGGGAGGGGTCCGGTAGTGTCCTTGTCCGCGCACCATTCGCACCCAGGCCCTCCCTCCAGCACCCTCCCCCACGTGGTCTTGCGCGCCCCCGCCCTGGACCTGGGGCTCATTCCGGGGCTCTCAGGAAGAAGGAGGAGGGACTTGAACTCGTGTCCCATCGTGGCTATCCGCTCCGCAAGACCCTCGGCTGGGGGGGCGGGGGTGGGGGGGCAGGGAAGGATGGGAGGATGGAGGAGATGGAGGAATAGGAGGAGGGGAAATGGGGGGAGGGAAGGGAGGATGGAGGAGGGGGATGGAGCCATGGGAAGATGGAGGGATGGGAGGTGGGAGGAATGGGAGGGAGGGAAGGGAGGATGGAGGGATAGGAAGAAGGAAAAGTGGGGGAGGATGGAGGAGGGGGGATGGAACATAGGAGGAGGGGGAGGGAAAATGGAAGAGAGAATGGAGGGGGAGGGAAAATGGAAGAGAGGATGGAGGATGGGTGGAGGGGGAAGGAAGAGAAGATGGAGGGATGAGAAGAAGGAAGAGTGGAGGAGGATGGAGGAGAGGATGGAAGGATGTCGTAGGAGGGAAGGGAGGAGGGAGGAAAGGGAAAAAGGAAGAGTGGGGGGGTAGAGGAGAAGATGGAGGGGTGGGAGGAGGGGAGAAGGAAGGATGGAGGAGGGGGATGGAGCCATGGGAGGAGGGGAAGGGAAGAGAAGATAGGGGAGAGGGAATGGAGGGATAGGAAGAAATAAGAGTGGAGGGGGAATGGAGAAGAGAATAGAGGGGTGAGAGGAGGGGAGAGTGAAGGAAGGATGGAGGAGGAGAGAGGGAGGAGAGGTTGGAGGGATGACAATGGGGAGGGAAAGGAAGATGGAGGAGAAGTGATAGAGGGATGAGAAGAGGGAAGAATAGGAGGGGGATGAAGGAGTGAGGAGGGATGGGAAGAAGAGAGACTTGAGGGAGAATGAGAGGGAAGGGAAGATGGAGGAGAGGATAAAGAGATGAGAAGAGGTAGAATGGAATGAAGGAAGAATAGAGGAGAGGAGGGATGGGAGGAGGGGAGAGGGAAAGGAAGATGGTGGAGAGTTTGGAGGGATGGGGGAGGGTGGGGTGAAAGAAAGTGTGGAAAGATGGAAAGAAGAAGAAAAGAGGGATGAGAGGAGAATGAGGGAGGGATGGGAGAAGGAAAGGGGGGATAAGAGGAGGGGAACAGATGGAAGGGGGGAGAGGGGAGAGGGATGGAGGGGGGAAGCAGAGCTGCTTCTGGAGTCGGTCATCCCCCTGGTTTCTAAGTCTTACCCCTGGGAGGGAGTCATGGAAAACTGGTATGTGACCCTTGACACTCCCTGTGCCAAGGTCTCGAAGGCTTCAGGGGCCTTGCTGAATTAGCCAGAGGCATCTGGCCGCCAGAAAGGTGAGGGGTGTGGGAGCCTGTGCTAGTCCAGCAAGGTCATGTGGAAGTCGGTTTTCAAGGTTATTGGTCTCAGTTGCCCTAATCTGCACCCACGCCAAGGGCAGTTGGCCCAGTAAGGCCTTCTTGTTCTCCTGGCCAGTGAGAGCTAAGGGCATTGGGACCGCCTCTTCATGAATGATTGCCCCGGATTTCTTCCTCCTCCCCAGCTCTGTGCTCCTCGATCTCGGGACTGGTGGCCAGCACCCCATTGGACTCTGTACTCTTACCAAGACTTCTTGATTCAGACCTGAGCCATCCAAGCTCAGGTGCTAGGTGGGGTCTTTAGGTCCACCTCCCCCTGCCTCTTTGCTGTACGTGATGACGATGAGATGGAGACCCAGAGAGGGAAGGCACATTCACAAAGGCCCTACTATGTGACAGGCACTGTGCTGCATGCTTTGTGAGTCTTATCTCATTTGATCCAGCAGTCATGGCAGGCAGGATCCCTATTTTACAGATGAGGAAATGGAGGCAAACAGGTCACCCAGCTAGGAAGTGTCTGAGGCTGGATTGGAACTCAGGTCTTCCTCTCTCCCGGCCCAGGCTCTATCCACTGCAGTTCCTGGGGGATAGGATAGCTGGGGCTAGAACCCAGGTTCCCAAGGTCTTGGGTCTCCATCTGCCTGGTGGCCCTGGCCCCAGGAGGAGGGTTCCGCTCCTGAGTCCAGCACCACTGAGCCCACTTGTCTAAGGATTCAGGGTTCTGTCTTTCTGCCCAAGTCTAAGGGTCCGGTTTGTTGTGGGAGCAGCCCCAGGGGAGCCCCCAGGAGCCTTGGAGATGCAGCAGCCTCCCAGGGAACGTGCAGGGCTACCACAGTTAGCCCGCCTCTCTGGGCCATTCCTGTGGCAGCAGTCGGTGTTTACTAGCCTTTCAAAATCAATAAGTCATCTTGCTTGGGCCTCACGAGAGCCCTGTCGGACAGTCAGTTCATCTGTTATCGCTGTTTTACAGTTGAGGAAACCAAGGTACCCAGAGTCACATAACTATTAGTGGCATGGTCGGGGGGTGACGTCCCCAGGCCCTTTTCTGTTGGAATTCCCCCCTTTTCAATCCTTGGTTCCCCCTCACATTCCCCTTTTGTCTCCTACTCTGCCTTCCTGCCAGCCTTGTTCTCCTGCTCTCCTGCAGGATTCCCTGAGGAAGGAAGGGGGAATGTCCCTGAGGACACTGACCAGGGAAGCTTAAGGTCAAGGAAGATGAGGTCTTCCCGGGAACCGAGTGGGGTTCAAGGGCTGAAGCCGCTCTTGAGAGGCTTCATCTCCCCACCAGGAGTTGGAAGGGGTTAACAGAATGAGGGCCTGAGCAAAGCCTGCCCCCCACCACTTCACATAACCGGGTTTCCTGAAATGGAGCAAGTCCCAGGTGCCTCTCTACTAATCACATCCCTGGAAATGGGGCCATGCTGCTCAGATTAACTCAGCCCCTCACCTTCCTGAAGCTCTCTCCACCTAGAGCCCAGAATCTAGGGCAGCCAAACCACTCAGCTACCCCCACTTTGCTGGTGGGGACAGAGGGGGCTATTTCCTTGGGGTGCCAGGAGGGATGATGGGGGAGCACCACAGGGCCAGGGTGGGGAAACAGAGGTCAGAGGATGCAGTGGCTACACCACAGGTGGCCAGCTTGATGGGGCAGCCCAGGGGACCGTCACCCCTTTCTGTCCTCATCTCCCGTCTTTACCCTGACTGACTTTGTAGTCGTCCATAGGCAGGGCTAGGTCTGTCTTACCATCCGGCTGTCTGCTAGCAGGGAAGGAAGTGGGCTTTGTTGAACATGCAGCTGAGATCAGAGAGATCGAGTCCATTAACTGGAGCAGGGAGCCATCTTCCAGCACATCTGTGTCTGCTTCTCTGGAGGTGACTCCAGGAGCCGGAGATGGGAAGGGTAGGGATTGGAGCTTTCCCATCTGGCTTCTCTGAGTTATCATTGTTGGTCAGTCATTTCAGTCGGGTTCCACTCTTTGAGACCCCATTTGACTGGTTTGCTGTTTCCTTCTCTAGCTCATTTGGCACATGAGGAAACTGAGGCAAACAGGTTGAGGTGACTTGCCCAGGGTCACACAGCTAGGAAGTGGCTGAGACTGGATTTGAACTCAGGAAGAGTTTTCCTGACTCTAGGCCCAGCACTCTAATCACTGTACAGTCCAACTGTCTCTCATTAGCTCCTGCCTTAGGAGCGTATCTGTCCTCCAGTTCACCAACCTTCAGTCTCCCTCTGCCATACTAAATAAAGTATATTTACCAAAAATTGAATAAGCTGCTATCCGGAAGAAAGCAGCCGAGGGGTGATGTTATCAGGCACCTTGTCTTCCTGTTCACTTGCCCTAATCCCAGTTTTCTCATCACGAGGGTCTGCTCTGGGGATTTCATTCATAGAGGGCACTCTTGGGGGCAGAAGCTCCTCTGGTGCTCCCCAACTCAGAGTCTTAGGGAGCTGCCTAGAGCCCTGGGAGGTGAGGGTCACAGCCAGCAGGCTCCAGAGGCGGGCTAAAAGCCGTCACCAGGTCTCTACCCTCCTAGAGGAAGTGTCACCTTCCTTCCTTCCTTCCTTCCCTTCATTCATTGCCTCAACACTTTCTCCCAGGCATAGGATGTGATGAGAATCAGATCTACAAAAATGTTGTGAGTTATTCAGAGAAAGGGCAAGAGAAACACTTCAAAAGCGTGTTGTTATAGCTGAACATGGCCACCTGCCCCAGCAAGGGGCTGGTGACATTATAGGTGCACCAGCTGTAGGGATGCCTGGGGGTGTGAGCTGGTCTTTTGTCAGTCAGCTGTATTTAAAATGCACAAAGGAGGGGGTCACGTCCAATAAGATGATTGCATTTTTTCATGAAATGGAAAATTAGAAAGCAGATAATCACCCCTTCGTTTACTTTGGGTGAAACGAATGCTGGGCTTGCTTGGAGTGAGATAGCTGGGTTTGAAGTAACATTCTGTAGCTGGAGGAGCCGCAGAATCATTTTGGATTCTCATGACCCTGGGAAGTTGCCAGTACCACCAGGATTGCCACATTACAGATGAAGGACCGGGGCTTTGGAGAGGCCGGCTGCCTCTTCTGTGTTTGCACAGCTGTTGAGCACCAGGACTCCCCCCAAAGCCTCCCTTGACAGCAAGACCCTGTACCCCTA